CCTTTCTCCCCCCCCGATGGGGCTGTCAGATGAGGGTCCCTCAAGCCCCCACCCCGAGAATCAGGGGTGCAAAAGACCCCTCTGTGCGGGCCCTTTAGTCTTTAGCCCCCCCCAGGCTTCCAAAAGGAGGGGACCCCCCCAAGAAGGCCAGGGGTGTGTGTGTGTGTGGGGTAACCAGGGCAATAAGAGGGAGGGAGGGAGGGAGGGGGGGGCCACCCAAGGCAATGGGGGGTGAGGAAAGGGGCAGGTTGCCAGGAGAAAGGGGGGGCAGGTAGCCAGGGCAACAAAGGCGGAGGGGGGTGCATATGGGAAGTGGCCAGCCACCCAAGGAACAGAAAGGGGGGCAGGTAGCCAGGAGAAAGGGGGGCAGGTAGCCAGGGCAACAAAGGCGGAGGGAAGTGTCCAGCCACCCAAGGAACAAGAAGGGGGGTCAGTTGGCTGAGGCAAAGTGGAGGAAAAGGGGGCAGCGAAGGACAGCATTTAGTAGCCAGTAGCTCCTCCCCGCCCCCCTGTGCGCTTTTCACCAGCATGAAGAGGGCCTGTGGTGAAAGGGGATGATGGTGAAAAGGCTGCGGAAGGAGATGTCCTTGTGAAGACACATGAAGAGTGTCTCTCCTTCCTTGAAGTGGTTCAAGTTTCAGTTTATATCAGAAAGGTTTTGATTTTTTTTTCTCTCTTCAAATTTTAGGCTTAGTTGTATCACACTCAGCTTGACCCTTGGATCTTGGACGAAATCGACCTGCTGGTTACGGAGTCTGCAGGGATACGCATGGGCTGCTGCTCCACACCTGGCGCCCAAAGCATCAGCAGCTGGAATTGAGGGCAGTTGGCACCATCACCATCATGACTTGTTCCCACAACGTGGTGTTCTTGTTGGACACTGCTGGCTCTGTGGAGAAGAGCCGTCTTCATTTGTGCACCTTGAAAATCTTGAACTATTTGGGTTGCAGGTTCGGCCTGGCTAAGGTCCGGTGGGACTTTAAATTCTTCGACTCTTTAGGTGCCCAGGGCAGAACTTCGCAGGTGAGAAGTTTCCGTGAGCTTGGCTCCCGCACTTGGGAGGACTTTGAGGAAGAACTGGAGAACAGGCTCGGAAACCGAGGCGGCGTTGCACACTTACCTGGCCCGGCACCTCGAGCCACCCTCACTCAGAATATACTGAAAGAAACCTTGCTCGATTACCAGTGGGACCGGCCTGAAATAGCCTCTCCCACCAAACCGGTCTTGAGGAGCCAGAAAAACAAGGTCACTCTGACTGCGGAGAAACCACGAGAAAATTCCCTTTCTGGGGACTTTGTCAACACCGTTTTCCTTTTCTCTCCTTGCCCTCATTCCCAGAGGGAGCTGCTACAGTTTATCTCTGGAAGCCAGGCTCATAGATCTGATGCACTGCCTCCGTTGCATGGTATGGCAGAAAAATTCATTCCTAAGGGAATCCAGGACATGATGGCTAGACAGAAAATCACCCTGTATTGGCTGGACACCTCAGAATGGTTCAAGGTAAGAACATCCAATTATTGGGCGACCTTCCTGTGTATCATGCTGTCACATTTGCATTTCCTCCTATCCTAAACAAATACTGTGGGATTTCTATTTTTACCTCATTGCAGTTGTGAGAAATGTTGGACTGAAGCAGTGTGAAAGGAAGAGAGTTGATGGCTTCCTTGATTATCTTATGAATTTTGGGAATCTCTTCTGTTTTAAAACATGCTAATAACAGTGAAATGGTTAATTATATTTAATATTCTTAATCTTATATATTTTAGTGACATTTGTAATTACAATGTAAACCGCTTTGAGAAAGTTCTGGGAGAGAACAGTAGTTAAGATTAAATAAATAAACAAGTACAGTGGTGCTTCGCATTACAACGTTAGTTCATTCCAGCGAAATCGCTGTAAAACAAAAACGTTGCAATGCGTTTTTTAAAAGCCCGTAGAAACACATCAAAACCCGATTAATGTGTTCCTAGGGGCTTGAAACTCACCGTCCAGCGAAGATCCTCCATAGCGTGGCCATTTTCGCTGCCTGTGCAGCGAGGAATCCGTGCCAGAAAAGAGCGGGTGGCCATTTTGTTTACCTGGCGGCCATTTTGAAACTGCCGATCAGCTGGCTGAAAATCATCGCTTTGCGATGATTGGTTCCCGAAGCAGGGAACGGATCATTGCAAAGCGAAATTCCCCCATAGGGAACATCGTTTTGCGATCGCAAAAACATTAACGTCTAGCGATTTTGTCGTCAAACGGAGCACCCGTTAAGCGAGGCACCACTGTACAATTATTATTTGAACAGATTTCAGCAATTTGAGGCATCTGTGGATGCAGGTGGCCATGTTTTAGGCAGGTTTTTTTTCTGGGTTGGTGGGCATGAGATCGTGACCTGCCAAGGTCCAGAGCAGCAGGTGGCCATGTTTTAGGCAGGTTTTTTTCCCTGCGTTGGCAGGCTTGGGATCATGACCTGCCAAGGTCCAGAGCATCTCAAAAATGAATCCTGAGGCATCAGAACATAGCCAGCCCATACCTATAGGAGCTGCTCATTGAGGTAATCTGGTGCTTTGTTGTCTACGTCATTTTGTATGAATCCAGCACCTTAAACCTGCACATGGGAAACTGGCTTCCACTGTATGATCCCTAGCCAAACCATGTTACTAGCTTGTTTGCAATGCATGCATATTAAGTCTTAGCTGAAAATGACCAGAGGCAAATTTACAGCCAACGGTTTTAACCGTCCCCTTTAATTTATTTTTTATTATGCAATTTATGTGCAGCATGAAAGGGTTGAGATTTTTTTTTAAAAAGGCATGCAGAGTTGTCTTTATAATAACAGAAACAGTACAACAGGGATTCCTCAAACCCTAATAATTACTTGTATCACACCTTTTCCCTCCTGCCAAAGGGTTCAGGATACTCTGCTTTCAAGCGTTAATCCAGTCCTCTCACTGACATTGAGCTCTCCTGTTTTCTTCTTTCAGCTCCTGGAATCCCCAGATCACATTGGCTACTGGATGTTGGTTGAACTGGTGCGTCTCTTAGGGGGCTCCATTCTGCCCTTGGCCGCTTTAACTCAGAGTTTAAATCACCAAAGAGTAGACCCCGATCCTGCTTCTCCAGTGGAGTCCGGGTCTTCCCAGCCACCATTCAGACCTTGGAGTATTATGAATTTACCTTTTGAGTCCACTTTGGGCTGCCTATTCTCCTCGCCTTCTGGTCTACAGGCTTCCTTTCCTTCCCAAGAAGGCTCGCTGTTCCTCAAGACAGACGGTAATGAAAAGTAATATGTAATTATATCCAGTAAGGAATTCTGTCATGTATTATGTGCATGTTGAGGGGAAAGGAGATTTCATTTTGTTAAATACGTATGCCTTCAGGTTGGCCGCTGAAATGATTCCCGAATTGCAAAGTTTAATTTTCAATGTAACAGTATTACATTAGTGCAAGCCAGTAATGGCATTGGTTCCTTAAGGGGCTCACCAAAATCAAATAAAGAAATGCAACATTAAAAGACAGTATTCACTCAAGTAAAGGAAATCAATGGAGTGCAGTCTGTTTAGTAGAACAAACGTACATCAGCTGCTGGGAGCCCAGATATTAAAACTACTAATTAAAAGATCTGAGTGAACAGAGTGGACCATAAAAAAAGTATAAGGTACAGCTGTCCGGACAGGGAGTTCCATAGTTTGGGAGCTGCAGTCTGTTCTGATTGGGACCTTGTATCTCTGGGCAACTCCCCAACTGCTTATGACTCACTTGGATTCTTGTTTGTTACTCTGTCCCCAGACCCCAAGTACCACCAGGTAGCCTGCCCTAGGAATAATTTGATTTGGCTTCGGGGATTGTTGTTGGATAGTAGAGTGGACTCCTTGAAATGTTGCCTTGGCAGCCAGATAAATCTTATCAAGCCCTACTGACAAAGGAAGGGACTTGCTAAAGGATGTTACCCAAGGCTCTCTTCATCCTGCAGCTGGTCCTGGTTTCAGAATTGAGAAAAATGCCCTCTAAAACTCGGAGGAACCTTGAGTTCCTGGTGTAATTATTAGCCTGTTAAACAGCTTTATCTAAAACTTTTGAAGTTGCTGCTAGCAGCGTCGTCCTTTCAAGAAGACTGAAAGTTGCACACTCTTGTTGCACCGCCTTCTTTTAAAGCAGTTTGCGATGGCAGTAGAGCGGTACTAACATGTCCTTAGATCGCTGTTTGTGCGAATTTAGTCCTGGATAATGACAAATTTGTTGACTTCTGAACTTTTCAGCCAGAGAGTTCCTAGTTATCTCACCTGTGCTTATTGTCTAGTTTGTTTGTTCTTAGTTGCAAATGCTCATAAACCCCAACATTAATCTTTGAACAGGAGGAGAAGAGTCACGGAGCTGGGTGGTGACCTTAGAGCCTCTCACCTTGGGCCAACGGTGCTTCAAAAGTCCAGTGAACATTTTTCTTAAATGCACGGTGACAGGCTGGGATGCGCCACACGCTGGCTACTTTCGTACGGAGAACTGGGTTGTGCGGAGCAGACAAACAGGAGCGTCGGGGCAAGAGGCATCGTTGTTCCAGCAGTTTGTAAAATGCATCCTGGCCCAAGGATTACATATGGTAAGTCTCCACTTCGATCTAAGGCTTAGCTAAGAGCTTCAGTGAGACAAAGGCAAGCTTTTCAGAACTCTTATACAAGCTCTTGGCTCACCTTTTTTGGCATCAGGCATGGGTCTGGATGATGCCCTGGAATGTCATCTGGCAAGGAGGATCCTGTGGCCTTCCAGGCATTGCTGGGGTTCCTCACCCATCAACCAGTAGAGTCTGTGGTAAAGAGTGATGGGAGCTGTAGTTGAATGATATCTATTTGACCATGGTTCTGCTCCCTCCATGCTAATCTGCCCCTTGCTTAATCTTTTCTGGGTTCAGATGTCACATTAAATCATTTTTAAACACAGTTTGGATCAGTTGTGGTGAGCCTTCAGCAGGGACTTTTTGGAGGGAGGGTGTCCCTGGTGGCCGGTGATAGTGTTATATTTGAGTTGCAACTGCTGTGAAATTCTGCGGCAATTCAGAAGTATTCAGAGTACGGTCATAAATTTGTACTAAGAAGTAAAGCTGAGCTGTAGTGGCTTCTGAGTGAACTCCCCCTGGATTGTCCCATTATTTCTTGAAGCTGCTGAATGACCCTAAGCAAACAGTGTCACTGTCCTTCAGGGGAATCGGTCTGCCTAACTCCCTTCTCCCACTCCCATCTTTTTCGTTTACAGGTTGCTGAAGTGTCTGCGTCTGGCATTTTTTCTCCCTGTACTGGGATCTTCTCCCCCATCTCGGACGCGACAGCCGTCCTTTCTCTTCTGCGTATTGAGCCAGATGCTGAAGCTGAGAGGTCCCTCCTTCAGGCAGCAGCAGGAGGGAGCATTTCCAAAGACTGTGACTCCAGCCTCCCAGAAATGGTGAACCGTGTGCTAAGTCACAGTTCCGATTGTTCAGAAGGAGGTTCTCCGGCCAGTCCAAGTAGGTTTGCTGGTTTCTTTCAAATGATGGTTTTCAAACTGGTTCAAGGAATTCCTTCCATGTGATATCCTTGGCTGAGAATCCGGCTATGGGGAATAATGCAGGCTTCGCCACTGTTAACGGGGTAGAGACTTACAGAGCCTTTCCACTGTCCTGTCTGAACTGAGAGCATGGCATAAAAGGTTCCCAGCACTCCTGCAGCTGCCGGTTATGGGCAAGATAAGATTAGCAAGGATGCGGCTTGCCACCCAGAAGGCCTTTCTGCTATAACTGATCCCACTGTCCTGTCTGAACTGAGAGCATGGCCTAAAAGGTTCTGGCTTTAAGAAATCCATCCCCCACTGGCTTTCAAGGAACACACTGAAATGCCGAAATATAGCTTTAAAATCACCAACGGCCTGTCTTTTTAGAATGAAAGCCCTTTCATGTGAGGCAAGATGCACTGAATAGGTGTGATTCCTCTATCTGAACTTTTTCTGCCCTCCTGTTTGCAAGTGTAAGGCTTTGCACCTTTCTCGGGAACGAAATCTGTTGCGTTCAGTGAGATTTAGTTCAAAGCGAACAGGCAGGGACTTGGGGTGACTTTGTTAACAGTAGGAAGATCTATGGCTATTGATCATTAAGTACGTCTCTCTTCTCTTCTGTTTTGTTTGATCCACATCGAGCAGAGGTTTTATTTCCTGAATGGGCCCATCAGGAGCTGTCCCGTACACCCCACTGGAGCCCGGCAGTCCTGGAAAGCTGGTACTCGTTCTCCAACCTCTGTGGAGCCAGTTCCCACTTGATGGAATCGTTTGGGTAATCGCTTTGTGCTTGATCATCAGAGCCGCTCTTTAAGTTTGGGAAGAGCGGGTTTAGGATCCCGAGTGCTCCCTCAGTGGGCCCTGTTAAGATATTCAGTGTGTCCTAAAAGAACTGGTTGAATTTGTTGTCTCTTTCCACGTAGAGCAGATTGAAGGTTAGGCTTTTAAGAATGGAGATGTTTTTAAAAATCAGCTGTGTCTAGAAGTAGAGGTGAGATTTGTTGTTGTTTAGTCGTGTCCGACTCTTTGTGACCCCATGGACCAGAGCACACGCCAGGCCCTGATGTCTTCCACTGCCTCCCGGAGTTTGGTCAAATTCATGTTGATCAATGACCCTGTCCAACCATCTCGTCCTCTGTTGTCCCCTTCTCCTCTTGCCTTCACACTTTCCCAACATCAGGGTCTTTTCCAGGGAGTCTTCTCTTCTCATGAGAAGAGGTGAGATACCCTTGGAGTAATAACCTTGGAACCCAATGGAAATGGGAGGGGAAAGCCCCGAATCCCTATCCTTTCCTCTTCCTGACAGATTCTCCAATGCCATCCGGTTGGTGATTAAAACAGAGCGGTCGGAAGAACCTTGTCTGTATTTTCCTTCGTGACTTTGGCCCCCACCTCTCCAGGCTGGAATCTAGCAGTAGGGAAATTACCTGTGAAAGCAGCCCCGTGTCAGCCACAGAAGCAGAAATAAAAAGTACAGGAAAGAGGAGTTTAGGCTCATGGCCACACTTGCCATATGACACAAGCACTGAAAAGGAGCAACTTGCTTTTTAATTGTTGTCCATCATGGTTATTCTGACGAGTCTTTCTCTGTCCAGGTTGCTTCGGGCAGGTTCTGCTAAAAAAGAAGAGGAAGACCCAAAATGCAAGATGGATCTGACACACGCTCTATCGGAATTCTATCAGAGGAAATCTTCTGATCTCTCCGCTCGGTCCCATCAGAGAGAGCACAGAAAGAGACGTACGTCCACATTGTGATGATCTTTCTGATGTTCTGAGCGGCAGGACGAACTGTTCCGAAAGCAGACAAAGTCCGCTTTTGATAAATACCTTTGCTTTCTTCACACATGCTTTTGGGACGATCTGCGGGTAGATTTCTAGGATTGGCCTAACTCCAGCCCTGCTTCTCTTTCTGATTTTTGCAGAAGGAGTTCCCCGGACCCCCGTTAGGCAGAAAATGAAAACAATGCCACGTTCTCTACAGATGCTGAATGCAGCAAGACTGAATGTAAAGGCTCAAAAGTCCCAGCCAGAGGGAGAGCAGCCAGCCGGTGGAAAGGTTCTCCAAAGGCTGTTTCCAAGAAGACCCAATGATAGCGTGGAAGAAAGAGGGAAAATGGCAAAAAGCAAGCTATGTATGTGCAAAATGGGGTCCCCCTGTCTGTCAAAAGTTTGGGGTTCATAAGAGGAGAAGAGAATTTGTAAGAATAGAAATGCTCAGTAAGGCCATCCAAAGAAAACAGGCAGTGTTAATTTGAGAAGCAGAAGGTACTGCTTTAAATAAGGATTTGGAGTTGTGTATCATGATTTGCTTTTATCACCACCGGAGATGAAAGGCAGTTCATGCATCAGCTGTTGGGCTGGAAGTGATCCCAAGGAATTGTTCACACTAAACCCTGAGCTAAGTTGTGTTTCATGCAAAATGTTACTCAGTTTTGGAAAAGCTCAACAAATAATTTCTATATATTACAAAATTAAGGCATTGCTGTTTTGTGCTGTTCTTCAGCAGGAGGACTGCCTAAAGCATTTAGGCCAAATTCTTGTTTTTTTAACTCCTAATTGGTGTGTGCTTCTTTTACAGGCTTCAGAACTGAGGAAGAGATGCTTTCGTATGTAATTGCCCACTACCAGAGTGCTGTGACTGGTGGAGAAAATATGTTTGCGTTCGCCCAGGAGATGGTGACAGCAGTTAACACATTTCAGAAATCAAATCAGGTGAGGCAGATCGAACTGGTTGGATAGGTCTGTGGTTTAGGTACCCAGCTGTGGAGCCAGAGGTTGGGAGATCGATTCCCCACTGTGCCTCTTGGGAGAAGAGCCAGCCTGGGTGGCCTTGGGCCAGCTGCAGAGTCCCATGGATCCCCAGTAGAAGGGAATGGGAAATCCACTTCTGCGTAGTCCCTACCTGGAAAGGGTCACCATAAGTCATAATTGATGACATACAATTATTATAAAGGTAGATAGACAAGTGTCTGTTTGCTTTATAAGTCTTTCACTGATTTTAAAAATGCAATTTAACAAGGCACGTTCTTAAACTAAGAGCACTGTTTCCTTTATTTTCATTTCTTCCTCTTACATTCCCCTTTTCACCTTTCCCAAAACTCAGGAAAAGCCACTCATTTTTCTAGAAGTGAAAGAGAGAGCCTAGTCTTGACTTAGTCCCAGTATGTGCCTCCGGAGGCATTGAATATCAGAGTTACAAACACAAGCGGCCATGTTACTGTTGGGTTTTGTGTACCTTTTTTTATTTCGTCTCTCCTGAGAATTGGTGCCATTTAAAAGGGCCCAGCTAAATGATACATTAAGTGTGTGTTGTGTTTAATGTATCCTTTTGTTTCATGCCTAATGTTGCTGACAGTGTATTGTTTCTGTCATAAAATGCAAACAAGGAAGTGAGATATTTAGATAATGTTTTTACATGTTGAGATAATAGAGTTGCTATAACTGGTGTAAGAAATTAGGCTTGCAACAAAATGGTGCAGCTGGTTATGCCCTGATTTAGGCTGATCCATTCTGTGTTATGTGGGACATGCGTGGTGCTGCGGGTTAAAACGCAGAAGCCTCCGTGCTGCAAGGTCGGAAGACCAAGCAGCCATAAGATCGAATCCACGCGACGGAGGGAGCTCTCGTCACTTGTCCCAGCTCCCGCCAACCTAGCCGTTCGAAAGCATGTAAAAATGTGAGTAGATAAATAGGTACCACCTCGGTGGGAAGGTAATGGTGTTCTGTGTCTAGTCGCGTTGGCCACGTGACCACAGAAACTGTCTATGGACAAACGCCGGCTCTACGGCTTGGAGACGGGGATGCTCAGTGCACCCTAGAATCAGACACAACTAGACTAAATATGAAGGGGAACCTTTACCTTTTATTCTGTGTTATGTTCCCTGTTTTCTATTCCCCCCTTGCTCACAAACTAAGCTTTCTGTGGCTACTCAGCATAGACCCCCTTAACAGATTTCTGTTGGTTCCCATCTCACAGAGTTTATTTTTGTTTCTGCTTGATTGCTCCCTCTCTCTGGTTTATATTGCCTCTTCCCCCCTCCCCCATTTCCCTGTTTTGGCCATAATCCCATCAGTATTCATCACCTCAGTCCACTGCTAGAATGAGTGTTTCATAAAGATTTCTTTTTAAAAAGCATGTACCCTTTGAGAAACCGTGTAGTTCTAAATCTCAGCTGCCGAGGCAAGACCAGGCACTTGTTCTCTCTACCGAAGCAGGATACCAACCGCTAATATTTACTTGTTTCAAAAAACTGCCAGTTTCTCTGACAAAAAGTTAAAGTGATGAACAGCATGTAGCACAATTGGGACTTAAATAGAATTTCACTCATAGCATCAAAATGTGATTCCCTGCAGGGAAAAACATGTTTGTGTATTACATGGAGCTTGGTGTGTTTTTCTGATCAAATACCTGCCCTTTTGTGTCCCAGAGAAAGAGAAATATTTGTGGTTTCCATCCTTTTGTTTAACATACTGTATTCTCTGCATGGGTCATCTTGGCAAACATGTAGCTTTTCCCTAGCGAAGTGCTACAATTGTGTGCTGGGCAATTATTTCCTGAGCCAGACAGCAAACAGCCTGTGACACTCCTTCCCATTTTATGTCTGCAGGAAGCCGCTGTGAATGCAATCCGAAACAGCCTCTTGAAGACCAGCCAAGCCTTTCGTCAACAACTCAGCGGTCACACTGACAAAGAAATCAAAATAAAAGAGTAGGAGACAAAACAATATGTTTTGAAACCGTTTGTTTGGGCAGTCAAGGAGCTTGCTGCTGCCATCCTTTGCCTTAAAGAAATCTTTTTAAGTCAGAAAGCTTTGTTTTTATTTGGTGGCCTAGATCAAACATACCCACCGGACATAAGAGTTCACAGAACCATAGAATGGAGTTGGAAGGGGTCTAGAAGGCTGTTGAATCCGACCCCCTGCTCAGTGCAGGAATTCAAATCAAAGGATATTTGCCAGTGGGGTTATCTAGATTTCTCTTGGAATAGTCAGATATGGTCCCCAGTTTGGTTTAACAGTAATAAAACAGTAATGAAATCTGAACTCTTAAGCAATTTGAATTGCCTCTCCCAGTGAAGGATCCAGAACATTGTTTTTATCGGTGATCATAAACGTAAGTCCCATCTGGCATTTGGCTGTCCTTCTTCAAAGGATAGCAGTTGCAAAGGGTCACTTTCCCACATGCTTGGGCTGTTCCTGGGTAGCTGCTGTCGCTCATTTGCAGAAAGGATATATAATTAGCCATGGAGGATAACTTGTCCGCCTCCATCTCACCTTTTCTTTTCCTTAACAGGTGTCAGCTCCAGGTATATTTACGCTTGGAGATGTGCCTCCAGTGTCCATCTTTGCAGACTGACCCAGATGGGACAGAAGAACTTGTGGAAGAGGTAGGCCCGTTCATCTGGGTTCTAGAGAACGAAAAGTGGCATTCTTTGGTCAGGTGCCTGCCAGATGTGCTGGATTACGGCTCCCATCATCCATAACCAGAATGGGAAAGGCAGCCCAATCCATCCGGTAGGCACCAGATGGAGGGTGGTTGGACCTCCTTGAGCAGTTCTGTCCCCTCAACTGTCTTGCAGGTGACAGAGATGTTACGGATACTGTGTTTGACTGAAGACCCTGGGTACCTCGCTAGGTTTTTGGAAGAGGTGGTAGACACGTAAGTGCTTTTTGCATGCTACTGAATTATTATTTTAATTTATGGATTGGTTTGCGAAACAGTGGGCACAGATAGATATCACAGATCCTGTTATCCACCTGGTGAGAGAACTATGTAATCATTAAAGTAGAGTTGATGGATGTTGCAGGCTGCTGATTTAAGATTTGACTATCCGTCTAGCTCTTTCTGATTTTTACTGCTGCTACACTTGATAATCTGTTAAAGCTAAACAAGTACCAGGGACAGAAAATTAGTACAACTTCTCATAAAGCATCACAAAAAAGACAAAAATTCCAAAAATAAATATATAAATTGAAACATTTAATTTTAAGTCGGTGGGGATACTTCACATTATATCTAACCTTTGTTCCCAATGAATTTGGTTTCTTTTTGCTCATTTTTCTAAAGCTGCAAAATACAGCCCAGATAGTACTTGAGTCTCATCATAATTATAGCCACAGTATTGTATTCTTTTATTATCTGACTTTTCAGGAATTGGGTTTAGAGCTTGTTATGCTTCCATGCAGTGCTGAGTTTTTTTAGGAATCTCTGAGAATTATAATGTCCTGTGGTCTTACCTTCCAATCAACCCTACTTCTGAGTTGCATAGTTATTTTACTGAACACACAGTGTGAATTTTAGCTGCTTGATTGAATACCTAGTTGTGTAAAGGCTTTCTAGCTGAGCTGAATTCCTTCTTTTCTGTGGAATTAACTGAAACCAGATAGGTAAGGTTGTGTTGTACAGATGTGGAAACTTGTAATGAGTATATATGGCTTTCCTGTTGATTTGATCTCAGGCCAGTACGCTTTCCATAATGATCACAACCATTCTGATTGACCCTAAATATAGGAATGTACTGATAGGAAATATAGAGGGAATATGACTATTTTAACTGTATCAACTGTGCCAATATGGCTTGGCAAGGGTCCAAGCCATATTGGTATGATTAGGGTTAGACTTTCTGGCATTGCGTCTTCGAATGCAATTCTTGTTCTCTGCAGGTATGTGGAATCCATGCCCAAGCTGCTCGGAGACTTGTACTACAGCTTGGGGACACAGATTCCCCCAAAGTTGGCCTCGGTCCTTCCAGCAGACCTCTTCAGTGACGATGACAAAACGCTGGCTCTATGGCTTGAAGAGCGGGATGAGCGCCACCCCCTAGAGTCGGACACGACTGGACAAAAATTGTCAAGGGGAACCTTTACCTTTTACCTAACTACGAACTGTGCCAATATGGCTTGGCAACGGTCCAAGCCATATTGGTATGATTAGGGTTAGACTTTCTGGCATTGCGTCTTCAAATGCAATTCTTGTTCTCTGCAGGTATGTGGAATCCATGCCCAAGCTGCTCGGAGACTTGTACTACAGCTTGGGGACACAGATTCCCCCAAAGTTGGCCTCGGTCCTTCCGGCAGACCTCTTCAGTGACGATTCCATAAGCCAAGAAGGCCAAACCCCAAGGCTTCCGGCTTCCGCTGCCTCCGTTCCCATTTCTAAACCGGCTTCCTTAACCGACGATGCTCATCAGCTGGAGGAGCTGCGCTCCAGATCGGCCAAGAAACGGTACCTGCATTTCAGAGCAGGAAGTAGTAGCATTGAGTTAAAATTGGACTTAAGTTGAGTTCCATTTAGTCAATTCATAGAAGGCGATACATGAGCATATCTCCTTGTTTTTGATGAAATGTTCATATCTTGTATTTTCTCTGATTGAAGTTTGGGGAGATGCGCAACAAAATAATGAAACCCTAGAAGTGCCAATATCAGGAGAATGTGGCCAATAATGTCAAACAGTGTTTTGGGGATTTTCCTATCGGGCATTCTTTGTAAGTTTGGTTATCTATGAGGGCAGAGTTCTAGAATAAGTTATAGGGCTTGGTCGACCTGGCCAGTACCAGCCTGAACTAAATGTGGTCCCTAAAATAAGCCTCAGAGGTCTCTGCTGGTCTGGCACCCAGGATTCCACAGATCTTTGGAAAGTTACTATAATTTTCAGAAAGCCCCAGCCAGGAAGGTGTCAGATCCTGCATTTCCCCCCCCACCTTCCCATTACTTCCACTTTTTCTAACACTGTTTGACTTAGCAATGAAATTACTACTTAATATACAAAACACAACCAATCTTTTCCATGCCCAGTCTACTTAGTTGATTTTGGAACAACTTGGATGACGTGCGTGAAACTGTTACTTCAAACCCTGATGAAAGCTAGACACTCTTGTTCAAAGTGGCGGGCCCACAAGGCTGGCTTTCTCAAAATGATATTTGAGATGTTCCTTCATGGCTTAGATAGGAAAGGTGCGTCTTATGGAGCGAAAAATACGGTAGTTGATTTTGGAACAACTTGGATGACGTGCGTGAAACTGTTAGTTCAACAGTTGAAAGCTAGACACTCTTGTTCAAAGTGGTGGCCCGACAAGGCTGGCTTTCTCAAAATGATAGTTGAGATGTTCCTTCATGGCTTAGATAGTTATCTTATGCTTCTAGAAGGAGTACCCTAGCCAGGCACCGGAGTGTGACAGAGGCACCCCAGAACTTACGCCAGATAGAAGTTCCTCAGGGACCCAAGAATCGTAGTAGAAAGGTGAGTTATTTTCCCAAGAGCAAATAGTTAATAATTACATACTGCTTAGTTGATTCTGACTTAGGGTGGTGACCCTTTTCAGGTTTTCCCCGGGTAGAGAGTACTGAGAAGTGTGTTACCATTCCCATCCTCTAGGGGTGCCCTGGGGCCGTGCAGTTGGCCCAAGGCCACCCAGGCTGGCTCTTCTACAAGGCATTTGATACGGGGAAGCGGTAAGAGGGGGGCTCACACTCCCAACCCCCTGCCTCTACAGCCAGATTTTCCATCTCATTGTTCTATCCAGCCAAAGAGAGTGTTTGGGATTTTTTTTTTTTAAATGTGGAACATTTCCCCCCACAAAGAGCAAAACCCAAGACCAAACCATCTTGTAATGTGTGTAAGAGCTATAAAACCACTATATCTCTTTGTGCCCTCTTGTTGGACTTACAATATTCTTAACACGACGGTATTATTTCGAACATTTCCCCCCACAAAGAGCAAAACCCAAGACCAAACCATCTTGTAATGTGTGTAAGAGCTATAAAACCACTATATCTCTTTGTGCCCTCTTGTTGGACTTACAAACGTCTTGGTAACTGTGATGTTACACAGGTTTGGCCAACAGATCTTTTTATTAGATTTTTAGTGGAACTCAGAGCTCTGTTCCATATAAATGTCTTTCAGTTCTCAGAGTTAGCTTTCCAGAGGAGACCTATCATTCGAAGGAACTTTGAAATATTCTTAACACGGCGGTATTATTTATTTAGGACCACTCTCGCTCGTGTGTTATTGCAAAGACAGAACCAGCTCCACAGAAGGTAGCAGTCCAAGGTAAGCCTCACTTCATTTCCTTAGTTGGATCACAGAATTACAGAGCTGTCTGTTCCAACCTGCTGCTGCTTTAGGAAATCCACACTTAGAGCATTTCTGTTGCTTTCCATGGAAGCTAGCTGAAAGAGAACTAAGCAGTGGGAGCTTTCTAGAATTATGCGGGTATAAAGTACCAGATGATCAATTCTAACTTGTGTCTTTCCTTTGTCTGGAAAAATGCTTTATCCCTGTTAAGTTAATTTAAGAGTTGAAGGGAAAACCCTAAAAGCCAATCAAGGTGTGCTGGGGGATAACTTGATAGGTGTTTATCCAATCTTGCAGTGTTAAATACAACCATATACAGTGATGCCCTGCTTGACGACGATAATGTGTTCCAGCAAAATTGCTGTACAGCGATATCGTCGTCAAGCGGAATAAACCCACTCCATGGAAGCTAGCTGAAAGAGAACTAAGCAGTGGGAGCTTTCTAGAATTATGCAGGTATAAAGTACCAGATGATCAATTCTAGCTTGTGTCTTTCCTTTGTCTGGAAAAATGCTTTATCCCTCCTAAGTTAATTTAAGAGTTGAAGGGAAAATGCTAAAAGCCAATCAAGGTGTGCTGGGGGATAACTTGATAGGTGTTTATCCAATCTTGCAGTGTTAAATACAACCATATACAGTGGTACCCCGCTTGACGACAATAATGTGTTCCAGCAAAATTGCTGTACAGCAATATTGTCAAGCGGAATAAACCCATTGGGATGCATTGAAAGCCGGTCAATGCGTTCAGTGGGGGAAATACCTGATTGTGCAGCGAAGATCCTCCATAGGGCAGCCATTTTCCGATGCCTGTAAAGCGAAAATAGGTCAGCAATACAGCAGGGAGCCATTTTGCGAACCGTCGATCAGCTGTTTTTAGATCGTCGTTAAGCAAAAGATCGGTTCCTGAAGCAGGGAACTGATCGTCGTGAAGTGAAAATCCCCCATTGAATCATCGTTTTACGATTGCTGTAGTGATTGCAAAAAACTCATTGTTAAGCGATTTCCTCATCAAGCGGGGTAATCGTCAAGCGGGGCACCACTGTATATATAATCTTCCAATTAAATATCAAAGATCTAAGGCTAAAATTTGATTATGAATCCCATCTAGTGCAGAACTGTTGAACAAATTGAACTGCTATAGGTTTTGGCTTATCAAGTTTCTATTGGTGTCATGAATCTACTTCAGTTGGGGGGATACAAATTGGAAACGAGTCTGATCTCCCCATTTAAGACCTTGGCGGTGATTTCTGGCCATTAAAGGCTCACCACCGCCACCATCCTGAATTCTTCCCCAGGTCAAGAGGGAATCCAGAGGGAGCCTTAGAAGTTGCAAAGGTGTGAAAGGAAACTTAATGAGCTATAGAAGCCTGCAGCTGATGATGTCATCAGTTAACTTGGGTGTAACTTTATGCAAGAGGATTTTGGTCGAAATAATCTGCCTTTTTACAGTGTCTCTCTTTTTTTTAAATGAACCGAGCCATCTGGATTTTAATCTGCTTGGGAAAGGACTCATTTTCCCCACCGTGTTTATTCTGCTTTCCTTAGGCCAACAATGTTAACTCACATTCCAAATGAACCGAGCCATCTGGATTTTAATCTATTTGGGAAAGGACTCATTTTCCCCACTATGCTTATGGTCAGCAATGATAACTCACATTGTCTTTGCTTTCTGATGGTTTCAGAAGTAACAAAGGTGCGAAGGAATCTCTTCAATGAAAAACTGCTTTCCCCAGGCAAAAGATCCCTGGCAAAAATTCCTCGAAGCCAATCGGTGTCTGCTTTGGAAGGTCTAAAACGTAAACGTAGCCAGTCTAGTGGGGGCGCAAGAGGTAAGAGATGACTGTATGTGAGCACCTAACGGCTGAAATAACCGCCATGCTGGCTGGCGTTCTTCCTCCCTCTTTCTTGATTCTGTTGCCTTTCGTGTATAAAGCAACTGTGTTGGCTTCTTTCCAAGTCAAAGCAATGAAATGGTATGTTCCCCAAAGAATCTCACCCTGTGATACCCCGCCCTTTGGTTTCTGAAATGCATGAATGAATCAATGAATGGGCGTAATAGAAGGGCGCAGGTCTTGCGGTGGAATGCATTTCTCCTCAAGACTGGGGCTAGAATCTAGGATGGCTCTGTGGGAGCAAAGAGCGTGATGTGACTTTGGCTTGATGTGAGCTTTAGATAGAGCATGGGGAGACCCTACTTCTTTTTCAGTTGCATCCAGACAAACGCTTTGCTAGATTTCTGGATGGGAATCTGGGCTCACAGTTTCCAAGAAGAACTTCAGATGCTCCCTGACGTGTAGAACGTGTCGTGTTTTGTGCAGCCCCTCTGGGAAGAGGAGAGGCGAAAGAGCAGAGACGGGCGTAGTGGGAGAAAGAGAGTGAGCCCGGAGCCCCACTCGGGGAGCCCTTGTATCTCAAAAGAGATTAGATAAGGAGTTCATGATAGGAAAGCAGATGCCATGCCTAGTTCCCTTTCCTTTGCTCTGGAATGAGAACAGGGGAGAAGATCTGGAGGGTCTTTCTACCTCCGAACAGTTCCTTTAAACAAAACAAAGCAAGGAATCTGGAGAGTTTGAAAAAATGTGCATCGGACTAGACAAAGTACAAGCAAACCTACCTCTGAGGTAACATTCCTTGGCTCAGCTTGGGCTAAGCACCACCTTCCTGTTTTGTCTCTTTCTTCAGGCAGTCACAGATTACTGACCAAGAGTGTGGCGGAGACACCACTCCACAAGCAGATCTCAAGGAGGTTGCTATACAAGCAGATCAAAGGCCGGTGAGCAACATCCGCCAGGCCCCCTTGGTGGAAGTGGTGCTGGCGGCGGGGGGGGGGGCTTGGTTTTGGCTTTCCTTAACAAGGAGTTGGGCCCGTTCTGCAGAATTTAAAACGCTGCTTTGCTCCGCAGGTGTTCGGATCCCGGGCTTGGTTTTGGCTTTCCTTAACGAGGAGTCTCTGGTCCCGTTCTGCAGAATTTAAAACGCCGCTTTGCTCCGCAGGTGTTCGGATCCTGGGCCCGAAGTTGGTATTGTAGAAGAATCTCCCGAAAAAGACATTGCCTGTAGGTGGTCTCTCTCTCTCTCTTTCGTTTCCAGCCTTGGAGGGGTGGCAGGTGCTTTGTAACCGAGATCCTCTGGACAAGACAGGAGATGGCATGCTAGAGGCTGTCAGGGGGTGGCTTTTCACTTCCGACGGTGGAGTTGGAGCAGCCCACCAGGGGCTGGTATCCTGCTCTAGCTGCTGTGTTCTGTCGCTGGCCTTCCAGGCTGGCACACCCCTCCGCCTGCTTTTCTTTCACCTGTCCCGGTGGGCTGGATCGCCGTAGGAAGTGGAGGAGAAGCCACAGAGCAGAAGCTTGCTCAGAGTTCCCCTTCCCTGCCCTATCCTGATGGGGGATGAAAGAAAAGGTTGATGTAGATTAAGTTTTTATAAAGTAAAGACTGCAATCCCTCCATTTCCCCTTGCGTCAGGACTACAGGCTGAGATTCACCGGGTGTGGGTATAATCCACCTTGACCTTTTCCCCCCTTATTCTGACTGTCTGAAAGGTGGCTTAAGAAGAAGTCCACGGATCAAGCAGCTGCTGCGAGACAGAACGCGCTCTGGTTCCTTCTACAATGCAGAATCAAGTCAGAGGAGTATACTGCAAAGATATTCTGTGCACCGAGAAGCAGCAGGTGATCAGGAGAATGTACTAGGTATGAAGCCACGAGAGGAAATCAATTGCTCTCAGTAATTTTGCACTCCTTTTCTCAAATGGATAGGGATTCTCTCTCTCTCTCTCTGTATATTTATCTTCTCAGAAGGAACATAGATGTTAATCCATATCTGCTAGGTGGCTATATTTTAAAAATGTTATCTAGGCCAAAAGAGATGGTTCAGGACCTAGGGTGCATTCTCATTTGGAAGCTTGTACCAGTTTATGAAGTGACTGGCTCCTTTTGATTTACCAAGCTAGGTGAGCAGCATGTGCTCAATGTGCATTGGGCATCCGACCCCCTTTCTTTCGAATCAAGAATTTAATGTTGGGAGCGTAGCAGAGAGTAGGGGAGACAAGCCCCGTGTGAGGTTATAGGTAAAGTGGGATCCTCAGGGGTTTGACATGACTTTCAGAAGCTGATGTGTGTCCGTACCTGTCTTATACCTTTCTTTAAATAGGCTTGGTGTCGCCTCCTGTAAAAAAAGCCATCCGGTCCCCGAAGAGTCTCCTCTTTGGAGCCGTTCTAGATGACTTTAGTCCTGGGGGGAAGGACTCTTCCCGGACAAGCAGAACACTCTCCTCTGATCAGCCTACTCTTTATGCGGTAAAGACGCCCTCCTCTTCGTTCATAACTGCCTCTCTACCGGCTTTTTCAACTCTTACTTCTAGTGCATAGCTTTTAAGTATGTGATGCTTGGACTTTATTAACTTCCTGACTATAAAGCGCTTCAAGATGCCACTTATCCATTCTGTTCTTCTGTTCTTATCCCTTCCTTCTCTTTCCCAGACACCCAGGAAAAGTCCTTTTCGGTCTTCCCGGAGGCTCACGAGTCCCCCCAACGTTACGCTGAGAAGGTCTCCCCGAATTCAACAGAAGGCCGAGCCTGTGCTTTGGAAAACCCCTGCCCGAAAGTCTGGGGCAGCGAAAAGTCTGGGAGACCTCTTTTCTCCTTGTAGGCAGAAGAGCAAGTCTTTGCCTGAATTTGTAGGAAGTAAAGAAGGCGATCTGGCAAGAGAAGGGGTTTCCTCCCCCTCCAGCATGTCAGCACACCAGCAAGCCTTAGGAAAACCGGAGAGGCGGGAGGCCCTGGACGACGTCTTTGCTTCCCCTGCAGGTGGTTCTGATTCTGCAGCCGCCCCGTCGGCGTCCCCGCCTCCATGCCTCCTCAACGCAGAGGGGAAGTTCCTCTCGGGACTTCAGTCTCCAAGGCGCTCCCTGAGGGTGGCCCAGAAATCAGCCTCCCCGACCTCTGCTCGGAAACAGATCCTCGCGTCGGAAAGAGTGATGCCTCCAGAGCGGCGTTTCCTGGCAGGGTTGGACTCTGGGCCCTCGGAGGTCACACCCACCGTATTCAGAGGTGCCCCATCAGATCTGTCTTCCCGACCAAAGAGCATCAGCCCTGCTGGAGCCTTTTCTCGGGCAGGTGATGCTCTTCTGCTACCCGAGTCTTCACTTTGGGACCAGCCCGTAAAGACTGCGGCCGCCTGTGCCCTCTCCCCCACTGGGGCCCCAAGAGCCCCAGCTTCTGTATCCAGAGAGCCCCCTTTGAGACCCGAAAAGGGCAACAGCCCCTTGCCCGCAAAAGCCCCCCAGTCCCCAGCCTGCATAGCTGAAGGTGACCTAGACCTTTCCAAGCGTCATGAAGAATGTTCAGGTAGGGACAGCCCCAGTTTTTCAGCTAAAAACAACCCCTTTGGCAAACCTGATGATACGGAAAGCCTGCCGTTGGTGGAGAAACCTGGACAGACAATGGAGGCACTGACTTCAAGTATGAGGAGGGATTCAGGAGGAGGCACGTCTCCTGATTCTTCCTGGAAAAAATATGAGCTTCTCCGGGATACCGTAGTGGTGTGTGAGCGACTTGATGCTTCCTCTCTGTTCAGGAACGGCCTCGCCGTGAGCCCTCGGGCAAGCCAAGGCAGAGAGGCTTCACCGGGGGCTTTGCCAGCAGAAAAGGTGGAGGATGGAGAGCCTCTAGTGTTCCGGAGCCCACCCGGCTGCAGCCGGACTTCTGTGCTTCACACCCCGAAGTCTAACTGCCGGACCTACACGCTGCGCTGCACGGCAGACCGAAGGCAGCGGGAGGCCGCCGCGAGGCTGGGAAACTCCGAAATGACAACGACGGCAGCGTCCGGCACGCCCCTGGCTGCTCGAGCATCGCGTTCATTGGCCGGCTCTCCGACCTACGAGGTTGAGCTCATGATGCAGGCCTCTGGGCTGCCCAGGCTCCGAATTAAACGAATCCCCTCGGGGTCGGCGCCGGAACCTGAGAAAACGAAAGGAGAGGAGACTAGTCTGACTCAGGGGGAGCTTTCCCTGAGCTGCTGCGGCCGGCATGCAGGAAGACAAGCGGACCCTCCTTCTGTCTCACCCTCCTGTGTCCACTCTGCCCACAGCACCCCTGGGAAATTGGGAGCCGCCGGGCAGACCTACATATGCCAGTCGTACACACCGACACGCTGCTCTCCGTGTGCCGCCTCTCCGTCGCAAGGCAACGCTGGCATTCCCTGGACCCCTTCCCTGAGGCAGAAAGGAAAAGTGACTCCGGAAGCCATCAAAGACTGGCCTCGGCGGAAAAGGGCCGGAGGGGGCTGTGGCAGAAGTGAGAGGCAGGCAGGGGCCACGGGAGAGACCGCCGCCTGGGAGGCGGCCGGAGCGAGGACTGCCGAGCCCTTCGGCGGTGGCAGTAAAGCGCTGCTCCTGGGGGAATTCGAACTCGAAGGCGTTTATCGGCTGCCGGACCAGTCACCTTGCAGCGACACGGAGCCCAGCGGCGACGAGGGCGGCCGCGGAGAGACCTCTCACCTCCGCTCTCGGAAAAGGGCCTTGGTGGAGAGCCCGTCTCCCCCGGAAGGGGCCGCGCAGGAGGTGAAGCGGTCCTGCCTAAAGGCAGCGAGCCCCGGAGTGGCTGCCCATCCCAGTGAACAGCTCAGCCTCGGGAAAGGGCCGGTGTCTTCCGACGGGACTGTCCGGGAAGCCGAGGAGGTCTTCAGCTTCTCCGGTACGTTTGAGCTGAAATTCAGGGAATCGGGGGACAAGATCTGGGAAAGATGAGGATGCCAGTGGGAGCCCGGAAGCGTAAAAAAGTCTTTAACCACTGAGCCTTGTGGCCATGTGGTTAAACTGCAGTCCTGCAGCCAAAACTGTGCTCATGACTTGGGTTCAATCCCAGGTAGCTGGTTCAAGGTTCACTCAGCCTTCCATCCTTCTTAAATCGATAAATTGAGTACCCAGCTTGCTGGGAGGTGGATGCAGCCTGCATAATTCAAAGTACCCAGCTTGCTGGGAGGTGGATGCAGTATACAGCCTGCATAATTAAGTTGTAAACCCCCAGAGAGTGAGTGTTTTAAGCGCTGTTGGCTAGTATATAACAGCATACTTTGCTTTTTCTTTCCTCTTAGAACTACTTACACACTAGAACCACAGGTTTTGTCCTCACAAGTTGGATGGAAGGCCATTACCTCCAGGAAGGGCTCTGAGCGAAATCTTTGAATGCCATGACTCTTTGATTCCTTGAACATTCAGCTGGCGTGTTCCCTCCTAATTCCCATTGCATCGCCACCCGCAGGACTGGCATCTCGTGGGGTAACAACTAAGAAACAGGTCCCTCCTTTAAACGTTGTGCTCTCTTCTGCCAGGTTTGACTTCTCCCAGCTCTTCAGGGAAGAGCAGCATCTCTGCTAGTGGCCTTCGGGCGCTGACCGAGTCTCCCCTCCTCTATCAAGGCCACCCTGCCTCCTTGAAAAAGCATCCTGCAGGTAAAAATACTTCGCAATTGAAGGAAAGAATAATCACGTGCCGTCAAATGAATTTTGACTTGTGGCCGGCCTTTTCAGAGTTTTCCAGGTAGAGAGTACTCAGAAGTGTGTTATCCTTCCCTTCCTCTAGGGGCGCCCTGGGATGGTGCAGCTGACCCAAGGCCACCCAGGCTGGCTCCTCTCCCAGGAGGCAAAGTGGGGGAATTGAACACCCAACCTCTGGCTTCACAGCCAAAGACCTAATCTACTGAGCTATTAAGAATTGAACACCCAACCTCTGGCTTCACAGCTTAATCTACTGAGCTGTTAAACCCTTAAGGGGGAGCCTGGAGTTAAACAGCCAATATCCTCTCGCTAGTCCCAATTAAGAGTCAGTCCATTGAATAGAGTGATGTCAGCACTTATGTAAATCCAGTTGGGTTGATAAGTGTATTGGTTGGGGCCAACAACTGGATGCTAGCCAGTGCGTTTAAAACAAGCCAGGTTTCCGCCTATACGGGGATGGATGGGCTTTACAATAGTTCCTGGAGGTGCACAGGAGAGCCAATAATTGTGGGTTCAATCAATCTCACCTTCTTGTTCTCCGGTGGAAAAACCCCCACCATTTGACCTCTCTATTCAACCAGGATTCACAGATACAAGTTATAAAGCTGCCCCCCTGCTCTTAAATATGCAGTCTGAAAGATGACAGAGAAAGACGAGGTTGGAGAAGGGGGGAAAAGCAAGCTTCAGATCTGGTTCTTTGTTCCAGATTTCTTAGAATGGGAAGTTGGTGTGGAAGCAACTCAAGGACAAAGGCTGCAGGCCACTCTCCTTAGCTGGTGGAGCGGGCGGGGGGTCGGTCTGGCTTCCCTGGTTGTCTTCCCACGGCTGAAGCCTAATGGAATGGCTGCCCTGGAGGGGGGGAAGGGGCAAACGAGGAGTGTGATGGACGCAGATTTTCAGAAGGGCCGATAATGTCCCTGCTTCCTTTTTTCCTCCCCTACGACAGTAGCCCACCCCGCCTTAGATTAAAGCCTTTGCTCTAGCGGGTCTTTCCATTGATGCCACCAGCGGCTCCCTTAAGGCCGATCTCTTAAGAGGTGTGTGTGCTGATCCTGCCCCTACCCCTGTGGCCACTTTTCACGCCCACCATTTCCTTGACAGGAGAGGACTCCGATGTGTTTGGCGCGGCCGGCGAAGATTGGTCTCCGTTTCGTGGGGCCGTCACCCGAAGGCGTTCCGTCATCCGGACGTATTCGCGGAAAAGGCTGCTCACTTGAATGGCGAGGCTAGATGGGCTTGTGACTCAGGAACACGAAAAAGGAGAAGGCAGAGCAGTTTGGCGAGCCTTTGGACCCCAAAACCCAGCTGTCCCTGCCAGCTGCCAGAGAGAGAGAGAGAGAGAGAGAGAGAGAGAGAGAGAGATCCGCTCAGGAACTGAACGGTGGCTTCAGCGCTGGAAACACCTGCCTTTTATTCTGCTCTTAGAACCAGGGGAAGAAAGAGGCCGCTGGGTGCCACCAACCAAAGTGACTTCAGCAGCATAAAAATTGGGAACTGGGCCACTGTGTGGCCTTTGCAGGACTCCAGTAAGCCAATCTTGTAGATATTGGGGAGCAGATGGGACAGGGGGGAAATCGACTTTTAAATGGCTCTTTTGTAAAATAAAATAATTTGCTTTGGTCAGGTACTTATTCTTAATGGCATTTTGAGAAGATCTTGTTCCGGGCTCTTCAGATACTAGTCAGAAAGCCAATTCATATCCTCGTTTTGTGGGTTTTGCCGCAACTGGGTTTCCCCTGCGAGGGATTCTTAAGCCAAAATCCAAACTACCACCCATCCAGGTGCCAGGGCCATCTCATCAAAGAGTACAAACGCCATACTATTTTGGTCCAGGCTGTGACCCGTTCACTGAAAGGTACGAGGAATATATGAAATACAGTAAACTAACTTACAAAAGGATGTTGCTTTATTAGAAAACAATAGTATAAAAGGTTATTTAAAATATTTACACAGTTCCTAATATCATTTCATATAGTAAACAGGGACTGCTGGTACAGGCTACTGTATTCATGCCTTCGGCAAGCAACCTCCACGACGTGTCAGCTTTGAGATGGAGCAGGGCTTAGAGGGGGTTTCTCCTAACATCGATGATTTCCGGGTAAAACAGCCCAGGGACAACGTTTGGGCCGGCCCTGTAAACTTCCGTCCGAGGTTTCAGAAGTGGAGCGAAGCTTTGCAGGACGGATCCTTCCTTGGTCTGGCCAGCTCGGGGCAGGAGATCAGTCTCTTTCTGGTGAACATCGTCCGGTACTAAAGAGTGGACGCTCGCAAGGGAGGTTCGCCTCCAGGTGGACGGCAAAGGCGCGTTGACTGAGCCTCTGGCCTCTTCTCCGTTCCTGGGTCTTCTCTCAGAGGCCTCCGTCGGCATGCATGGCTCCAACGGAGCGTGGCCGCTCAAGTCGTCCTGTCCCCGAAGTGAACCACGCCGGTCCCCTGCAGCATGCGGGATTCTTTCCGTTCCTGTTATGAGAAGAGAGGCCCATTCCAGTGGGATGGCTTGGAGCAACTTTTTGCCTGGTCATGAACTCCCACCCTACAGGAGGACCTCCATATTTTTGGGGTGGGGGGATTGGCTCCAAGCCCACCCAACGCCCACCGATCCTGAAGAACACAGGTCACCGCAAATGCCATTCAGAGCAACGGCCTCTGGTCCTCTCTAAGCAGCCCGTTCTACATGTTTCTAGGATTGATCTTTTAATATTCAGATGGTGAAAAAGTGAATCAGGGGATTCTGCTTGTCTATCCCAAACTAGGCTTTGGGGGCTAGAGATATTGCAAAAGGTCGGGTTCTCCGAGCACCACCTCACCTCTGCCTTGACCCTCCAGCTGGTTCAGGCCGAGTCGCTGGCTCAGCTCTTGGTTTGCCTTCTGATAATGGGCCACTTCCTGTTCCAGTGCCCGGATCCTCCCTTCGTACCGAAGGCAGCTGCTGGCCTGGCCTTCTTCCATTTGCTCTGCGAGGAGGGAACCCGTTCAGATCAGGGAAAGGGGTGACCCGTGAGAGGTTGCGCCCTGGCGGGGCGAGGGGAACCGCACTTACCCCGGCTCTGCTGGAGCAGGAGCTGGACCTGCTGCTGGTGCTCCTTCTGCTGGCGCGTGAGCTGCCGGTCTGTCTCCAGCCGCTGGCGTTCCACGGCCACTTCCAGCCAGAAGACCAGCTGCAGCTGCTCTTCCAGCTGCATCTCCAGCTCGGAAAAGGCCATGTGTTGGCGGTGCTGATCCTCCCGCAGAGTCACCACCTAGGCAGGGGGAAAAAAAAGAAGAAGAAAACATAAGCCTGCATGTATAGTCTCTCCAACACTTCCAGGAGCCTCGGGGCAGTTAAACTGCAGCCATACAGCCAAAACTCTACTCAGCCATTCGGCCGAGTCTCATTCCGCCGAGCGAGGGCACACGTACCTTATCAAAGTACTTGCAGAGCAGCGCCCGGGTCTCCGAGGAAGAGAGGTAGCTGAGTTTGGCCATGAGGTTCATCTCGCACTGGGACAGGAGGCTGGCGGACGAGCGGAGGACCCGCTGCCGGCAGGTGATGGATTCGTTCTTGTACTCGATGGCGGCGTCAAGAGCCTCAATGGCTTCATCCAACTGGAAGAGGATCCGTTCCTCCTGAGCGAAAGAAATATCCAAGAGAACCACACGTTTAAGTAACAAAGATGGCTCTTCTTACTATAGGAATTTTTCCAACACACTATTTGTTAATTCTGATTTGCCACCTAGTTGTTTTATTTTTATTACTGGACATCCTGGGTTATTTATGTCTTTGTGGGTGAAGCTGAATACAGTAGTGTGTTTTAACCTTTGTTAACCTCCCAGAGCCGTACGTTGGCAATGAATACAGTGGTGCCTCGCTTAACGGGCGCCCCGTTTAACGATGAAATCGCATAGCGACAAAGATTTTGCGATCGCATTGCGATGTTTTAAATAGGGAAAAATCGCTTTGTGATGATCGGTACCTTGTTTCACTTACCAATCATCATAAAGTGGTTCCAAAATGGCCGCCGGGTAAAAAAATGGCCGCCTGCTGTTTTCTGGGAGGGATTCCTCGCTTACCGGGCAGCGAAAATGGCCGCCGTATGGAGGATTTTCGTTTAAAGGTGAGTCTGAAGCCCATAGGAACGCATTGAAGGGGTTTCAATGCATTCCTATGGGCTTTTTAATATTGCCTAGCAACAGAATCGCTTTGCAGCGATTTTTGCTCCACCGATTATCGTTGCTATGCGAGGCACCACTGTATTTTATGTCATCTTTTTCCTAAAGGATTCAAGGTGACTTACAGAATTAAAAGAAACACAGTTAAAAACACAGGCAAAACAGAATAAAAAACAATACCGTTAAGCGCCACACCCATCGGATGTCCCACTAGCATGGCTCGCTGGGTGTGCCAGACGCTTTGCCCACTTGGGCACGAAAGCCACCCACTGACCTCTGGGGAGAGCAAAGTCCCCTGGCGCAGCTTGCTGTCAATCTCCAGCCTCTGCTTAAGCAGCTGGTCTTTCTCTTGGCGCAGATTCTCGATTTCCCGGCGGATCTGCTGCTGGTCGTGGGCGCTGCTGTGGCACAGCTGCCCGTTCTTATGGGTGAGCTCTTTCTCCAGATCCTCCAGGCGGCTGGAGACTCTCAGGATGTCGTCGTTCAGGGCCTGAGCCAACAAGAATGCAAAATCTGGTTGGTGACGTGGGCACCTTTAAAGTTCTGGATTTGGACCTCTTACGAAACAAACCACAGAGAATCTGGATTTGTCTAGCTGGGGACAAGAGCCGTGTGGAAGTGACCGAGCAACCAGTACATCTGATCATTCACAATCGGCAGCAGTTCGTTCGAAGGTGCCCATTACGTTGGCCCACCTTGCATGCACGGAGGTGACACCATCCAGTGCATGGCAATACTATGCCTTTTCTCCCTTGCTAAGAAAAAAAGTTATATTACCGAATTTTTTCATGTATAAGACTATACTTTTGTCTACAATCTTTAGACTAAAAATTGAAGGCTGTCTTATACACGGAAGTAAGCTGAGAACCTAAACGAGTGGAGGGGAAAGCAGGGATCAAAGCGATCCTGCAGCGCTTTGATCCCTTTCCCCCTACACTTGCTAAGCCCCACTTGGATTTCTTAATTTTGGATTAGAAAACTGGGGGGGTGTCTTATACATGGGGGCGTCTTATACACGGAAAAATTCGGTAATCTTTTTGCAAATAAAACCAGGAAGCTAAGCAGCAGTGGATAAACTGCAGTCCTGCAGTCGAGCCTCTGCTCACAACCGGATTTGGATCCTAAAGGGCTCGGGTAGACAGCTCAGGACTGAACTGGCCTTCGATCCTTCCAAGGTCAGTCAAATGGGTTCCCAGCTCGCTNNNNTGTTGTTTCCATAATGAGGTTGTGCACCCGCCCAGAGAGTGCGGTAGCACAAGAAGTCAAAACAACCGCAACAACACAACCCACCTGGCTTGAGCGGAGCCTCTTGTTCTCAAGGCCGTTCTTCTCCTGCAGGAGAGCCTCCTTTTTGGCCACGATGGCTTCCCGTTTGGTCAGCTCGTCTTCCAGTTCGGTCAAAGCCCGGCGCTGCTCCAAGGTTTTTTCCATCTCCAGGTCCAACCATTTCTTCTGTTCTTCGATTTTCTGTTCGGAAAGGAGCCGGGAAGAGGAATTGGCCACCGGTAGCCCAAGCCGATGGGGGGAATATGAGTTTTGCCATGACGGCTTCCCAAAAAAGGGGGGGGGCTATCTCCCAGGAGCCACCGTGGGCCAGCGGCATAGTCTTCGGGGGGGTCGAGAAAGGAGGAAAGGGGCCAACCCTTCGGAGTATTCTCTACCTGGAAAACCCCGAAAATGGGTCACCCTAAGTCAGAATTGACTTGATGACACAAGGCTTCCAGGGTGAGAGAATTAAGGCCTTTTTTTTTCTTCATGACCGAGAAAGGGATTCGAACCCGGGTCCCCTGAGTCTTGGCCCCTCACTCTACCCGCTGCACTCCACTGGGGATTATTAGAGAGATGCTCCAATTTAAGCCACGCCAGGACTGTCCATGCCGCACCGATTTCGGCCTTTCTGGAACAAGGACGTCAAAATGGACTTTCCTCCTGTCCTTTACGGGAATGCTTTTCCGGGGGAAGAGACGCCCCACGTGGGGGAAAAGGCGAAGGGCTCGGGCGCCGTCTTACCTGCTGCTGCTCCAGGCTGATCATGGAGTCGTTGCTGCCGCTCCGGCGCTTCCTCTGAAAGGCCGCGACCTCCTCGGTCTTGATGCGCAGGATCTTCTGGTGCTGCTCCTGTTTGAGCTCTAGCTCCTGAATCCAAAAAAAAGAGGAGAGGATCGTAGCTACCCTGGGTGTTCCTTGCAAGCCGCTCAGTCCTGAAACCCCTGGCCCGGCAGACGTCTGCCCTTCGTAGAGGGTCACATCAAGAAAGCAGGAGCGGTCTTGGAAAGGAAAAGGGGGATGATGGCCTCCTGCCCTTCTACAGCTCTTGAAACATGCCACCTGTAAAATACTTGGGTGGAGCTGAAAAAATGGTGCACATACACAAACACACACACACACACTCAAAGGGCAAAAGAAGGGACAAAGCAAGAAATAAGCCTATTTTAGAAAGTGTTGCCAGTTGTATAACTGTTCTAGATCACTGGTTCCCCACCTGGGCTCCCCAGGTGATCTGGGACTACAACTCCCAGAAGCCTTCGCCGCAAGCGATGGCGGCCCAGGATTTCTGGGAGCGGTCGTCCCAGGCACCTCTGGGGACCCCAGGTTGGAAAGCCTGGGGCCAGGGAAGCCGTCTCAACTGGACCCAAAGGACGCCAACGGAATTCTCCCCCACCCCCTCTCCGGCTTTTGCAGCTGCCTCTCCACTGGCCTGGGCGCCTGGGAGGGGGGAGCCCCACCATCGCCGCCACCGCCACTACCTTGACCCGATGTCCCCAGGTGATCTGGGACTACAACTCCCAGGAGCCCCACCATCGCCGCCACCGCTGCTACCTTGACCCGATGCTGCCCTTTGTGCATCTCCGCCTCCAGGCGCCGCTTCTGCTCCACCTCTTCCCGCAGCCGCCGCTGCAGCTCCCCCTGCTGCCGCCGCATCCGCTGCACATGGCGCTCGAGTTCCTGCAGGCGCGTCTCGTTCTGAGCCGAGAGGGAGACCAGCTTTTCCGCCGCCTGCTTCTTCTCTTGCAGGATCTGAAACGGATGGACAGGCGATGGTTTCTCTGTCTCTCTCCTCCCGGCGGCCCGAAAGGAGGCGCCCTGCCAGGCCGAAGCGATTTCGCTCCGCTCTTGGCCCCGTCCTGGCCCAACTTTCCGTTATCGGGACCCCTCCCGGCCGCCTCACTCTCTGCACCCACCTTGGCCTTGCTCTCCGCGGCTGCCACTTTGCGACGATATTCCTGGAGTTTCCGCTTCTCGGCTGGGTCCCGGGGCTCCTTGCCCTCCAGCGCCTGCAGCTGCCTCTGGCTCTCGCTCAGTTCTACTCGCACCTCTTCGGTCTCTAACTCCAGACTTCGGATCTTCTGGCAATACTCCTTATTCATGCTCTGGGCGTGCCTGCCTGGAAGAAGCCGACCTCGGTGTCAGTCCCCCGCCCCGGGGATTCATGGAGAACAATCCCAAGGATCGAGAAGACAGTCACAGGTCAAGCGAAGATTACCTTTCCTAACCAGGAGAGCTATGTTTCTACCATCCTTTTTCTAAAAATATAAATAAATAAAAGAAGACCGGGGACCAAGATGAGCAGGAGCTGTTTGGAAGAGGGGGGGGATCAAGGCTATTTCCGATCACCCTGTACGGCTGTGAAAGCTGGACCATGAAGAAAGTGGATGGGGGAAAAGAACTAATTCATTATTTGGTGTTCACTTAGATTTGTACCTGATTTTTTTCCCCTTTCTGTCCATGAAGGTTGGGAGGTCCCTCCTGAGGCCTCAGTTAAGAAGAGCAAGAGTTTCGAGCATAAGGCGGCTTTGTCTTTTGCTCGGCGTTGGAATGAGCCCTTCCCCCCCCCGAGAACCTCTCTGTATTTGGCCCTGGGGTGCTAAAAGGTGCACCCCAAGAGCCACAAAGCGCCCCCTCCCCATTCCAGGATCCGTCATCTCCTCGTTTCAGGCACCTGTTTTGACGAGTTCAACAATCAGGTCCTCTTTCATGCGGATGTTGATGGCCAGTTCCCGGATCTTCTGGTGGGCCTGAAGCAGCCGCCGCTCAGAATCCTTCTCGGAAAAACCTTCTCCGAGGTTGCCCACCTCTGGTCTCCTGCAGCCCCCTACAAAAAACAACAACAACCAAATAAAACAGAGACGTTTCCTCACACAGCTTGTGAAGGGGGAAAGGGGTTAAATCTTGAGGTCCACAAACTTAACGTTCTGTCCCCATTTTCTTAAGCTCAGACGGCGCTATCTTATCTTGCCTTCTGGTCTCTTCACACATGCAACAAGAAAAGATCCCTGAGACGGAGCAGAACCACACGAGGGCTGCAGCACGGTGGCCCCGCATCCTGCGTGAACCCCCGGAGATCACCGGTCCAGGCATCAGCCAGAGGGCCAGCCAGGTCCGTGGTCCTTTAGGGACCAAACAGCCCAGTTCCGCCCCAAACGAAACTGGGAATTATGGAAGATTTTGGTGGCACAACGCTTTGCTTTCAGGATCGCTTGGGTCTTTATTTTCCTTCCCAGAATTCCAAGAATGGAGCTAAGATTCTCTGGAAAAAAAATTTGGGGGGTGGTGGTGGTGGAACTCTGCTTCCACCAAGGTGTCCAAGCGAGAAGCCGAAGAGCCGCCTTCTTTGTCCTACCTCCGGAGAGTCCTGCAGGTTCGATCAGCGCTACGTTGCTTTTGCTCCATCTCCTGCGCCTCTCGGGGGACCAGTCCTCTTTGCTCCAGGTGTGGATCCCGTTTCTACAAAGGAACAAGGGGTTCTCCTTAAAGCGGCTCAGACACCCATCAAGCTAAAAAAAAGGGGCAGCTCATTCGCTGTCTCCGGGAACAAGAACAAACCATTTAAAGGGACTCTTGGCCCTCCTATGTCTCTGTTTAAATCATACCAATCATGTGCGGTCCAGTCCATTCTGACTTATGAGCGACTCTTTTTTAGAGTTTTCCCAGGTTGAGAGAATTCGGAAGTGTGCTACCATTCCCTTCCTCTAGGGGGAGCCCTGGGACTGTGCAGCTGGCCTAAGGCTACCCAGGCTGGCTTTACTCACGGGAGACACAGTGGGGAATCCAAGCTCCCAACTTACAGTCACCCTAAAAGGGCTTTCAAGGTAAGTGAGAAATTTAAAGACTGGTTTTATCACTTCCGCTTCAGTGAATTTCCATGGCTAAATGGGATTCGAACCATGGTCTCCAGTGTCCTAGTCTGTTCCTCTAACCAGTACACCATACTGGTTACCAGTAGGTCTCTGTTGAGCCAGCGACATGTCTTTATATGAGGGTGTCCCTCCAGTTGCTGGCAGACTGCAACTCCCATCAGCCTTAGCAAGGCCAAAGATGAGGGATCATGGGACCTGCAGTCTACTGTCTGAAGTCTTGCAAGATGAGGTTCTCCCCAGCCTTACTGGAAACCTTTCCTTGGGGGCATCAGTTTCTACCTGCCCAGAAAATAATTACTCCCCCTTTCATCTCCGCCTCTTTGCTTACCTGCGCTGGTGAAGAGACCGCACCTGCTCACACTTCACAGACGGCTGCTCCAAAGCCTTGTCCAGCTCCAGGGTTTGTATCGCATCAGGGCCCACGGAGCCCTGGGTGAACCTTTGATGGTAAAGTCCAGTAAACTCCAACAAGTCTTTCCCATTGGAAGCAGGAACACCACGGAGCTGTCGGGAAGGGCAAAAGGAATGTTAAGCGGATACATAGCATGGTCTCCAGTGTTCTCTAGTGGCCGGTTCTGTTAAATACATCATGAAAACATGCATTTGTAGGGTTTTTTTTTCTTTTAATGTTTTCAATATTTTCAAACCACCGATAAGTGAAACTATGGGCATGGAGCCAGTGAATATGCAGGTCCTGCTGTATATCGGACTGAACACGGAGCATGCATTTTTTTTCTTTAAACAAACAAAAGAGTGGGCAGTACCTTTTACTAGACTGCTAAAAAAAAAGTAAAGTAGTAGCAAGCTTTCAGGATGAAATCCACTTCCTCTAAACTTTTTCTGCTCTCCATGAAGGGGGCGTGCTTAGCCTGATGAAGGGGAGGTCATCCATGAAAGCTTGCTACTTATTTACTATTTTGGTGGTCCACTCAAAGAAACCGGCCACTTTTCTGTTTGTGTCATCTTGGGGACCACATGACTTCATCCTTGATCTTTTTTTTTTAAGAGCAGGCAAGGCTACCGTATTTTTCCATGTATAAGACTATACTTTTGTCTAAAATCTTTCGACTAAAAATTGAGGGTCATCTTATACACAGAAGTAAGCTGAGAACAAAAACAAGTGGAGGGGAAGCCAGGGATCAAAGCGATTTTGCAGCACTTTGATCCCTTTCCCCTTACACTTGCTAAGCCCCACTTAGATGTCTTAATTTTGGATTAGAAAAGTGGGGGGGGGGCGTCTTATACATGGGGGCGTCTTACACATGGGGGCGTCTTATACATGGAAAAATGCAGTACATCGATTCTGCCTTCTTGTGAAAGCTCTGCCCTCACGCCTCAAGCAGAGACGGTCACTGGCTGGATGCAGGGAGAGGCTGGAAGCTTCCCCCTGAGTCTGACAGGACCGCCTCTGCCTTCTTGTGAAAGCTCTGCCCTCACCCCTCAAGCAGACACGGTCACTGGCTGGATGCAGGGAGCGGCTGGAAGCTTTCCCCTGAGTCTGAGATGAACACCTCCATTCCGGCTGGCCCTGGATGCCTTTGTGCACCTCCGAGACCCAGGACCGCATCTCAGGTTCACTGGCAGGACTCCACCCTCTGCCAGCCTTACCCAGGATCCTCGCCACGGTCAGACAGAATGCCACAAATAAGTCACAAACCTTGCTGCCGTTGCTCTGGCCGAACCTGAGCCGGGGGCTGACCCAGTCTGTGTCCACGGGAGCTGTGTGGGGCCTCTGGCCAGCCTCCACCAGGAAGATGTTCTGCAGCAGCTCGGAGGCGTCCGCCTGAGGCCTCTCCTTCTGCAGGGACTTGTGTAGTTCATAGATGACGTCCTGTTGCTCTCGCAGCTTGGCGCTCTGAAAAGGAACCGAAACGATGCAGACATCATGGCCCAAGAAGGCCCTTCGTCTGCCCCGAGGGGCCCATCAGGGCATCAAGTCCACCAACCCGGGCAAACCCCCCCCCCAAGGCTTGGCAGAAGGGAGATCAAGTGGCTCACAAGAATAGGGTGAGAAGGTGGGCCACCGGCCATGCCAGGAGAGCAGAAGCAGGAAGAGAAGACCCTTTAATGAAAGCCCAAGGGAGGCAAACGAGCCTGGAAACAGGGTAGACGACGCCTCGATTCCAAAATCACTGGACAGTGAAACATAGAGGGAGAGAGAGAGAAAGAGGACACTTCCCTCCACACCCAGGCGATACCTGGATTCTGTACTGTTCCATGGCATCTTCGAGAGCCGCAAGGAAATCCCGGTTCTCCTCTTCCAGGCGCTCAATGTGCCTCTCCAGCCTCATCACGGTCTCCTCGTGTGCAGACTCGGGTCCTTTTCTAGGGTCCTGCTGGAAAGAGCGGAGGAGGTGACCCTCTCTCATGGGCTTTGGCTAAACACAATGGATGCCTCTGTACAAGGAATACGCAGCATCCATGCGGAGGAAACCCTTTGGACCGTCCAGTTGCAGAGAAGGGGTTCCTGCATCCGGAGGAATGACTGCACGCTAAACGAACTTTTTTAATCCCGTAAGAGAAAGGAGCCTGTGGCAGGGAGACGATGGCTGATAGACCAGTTCTAATTAGACGCCGAGGACAAGGGTTGTTCAATGAGAGAGGCAGCGCCCTCGTCTGTGTAACTGACAGTCAAGGATGGTTTCCCATCACTTGGGTCTCTTTGCTTCTGCAGAGCGAGCCATTTTTCAAGGACGAGCTAACTCACTGAGCTATCCAGCAATTCATACCCTGAGTCAATCTTACCTTATGCAAGTATGTCAAAATCTTTTTTTTTTTCTTCATTACTTGAACTCATATATTTAATTCAGAAAAAAAAAATCTATATAAATCAGCCACTGCACAGGGCAATTTTTTTACTTATATGTAAATCTCATGGCACTTTGTGGAATTTTGCAAAGCCTATGAGGTTTATAACCGGATCTTTAATGTTGCTTAAATGTTATATTCAAATGCATTCGCTATTCTATTCATATTCATTCAAAACTTCATTTGGAAATTATGGCTAATGGAATATTAAAAGACCGGAAAGAGGTACAATCTCAAGACAGCAGCCTTCAAAACAAAAAAGGCCACTAACAGCTTTGAAAGGAGATAATTTGATGAGTATTTATTCATTTTGTTATTTTGTCATTTTATGAATCAAAGTTTACTAATGGAAACCTTCTCCCCAGAAATAACCGGAGCAGGAGAGAAAAAAATACCAGAGAGGTGATTTCTGCTGTCATTAACCTGACCGAAGTGGTTTATAAACGGCTCTGGGGGAAAATGTTTTTTTAAAGGTGATGTCTGAATGATGTTTTTAAAAATCCACATCAAGTTTCCATCACCTTTCTAAGCCTTGTGAATGTTGATTGCTTTTCAAAATTCTGTTTCCTTGCTAAACTTTTGTTCTGGACCAGCATTATGAATGTGACAGATAATAAATGCCCAGGGTGGAGAAGGGGGATCAGCTGAATTCTCCTGCCTTATCCTCTGAATCTGATGTGTGTGTGTGTGTGTGTGGGGGGGCTATGGATGACAAAAGCTGAACTAAGAACCTTCCGCAAGGAGATGGGGGCAAGCTGGACCATAAAGAAGGCTGACCACCACAGAATTGATGCTTTTTGAATTGTGGTGCTGGAGGAGGCTCTTGAGAGTCCCCTGGACTGCAAGGAGAACAAACCTATCCGTTCTGAAGGAAATCAACCCTGAGTGCTCACTGGAAGGACAGATCCTGAAGCTGAGGCTCCAATACTTTGGCCATCCCATGAGAAGAGAAATCTCCCTAGAAAAGACCCTGATGTTGGGAAAGAGTGAAGGCAAGAGGAGAAGGGGACGGCAGAGGATGAGATGGTTGGACAGGGTCATTGAAGTGACCAACATGACTTTGACCCAACTCCAGGAGGCAGTGGAAGACAGGAGGGCCTGGCGTGCTCTGGTCCATGGGGTGACGAAGAGTCGGACACGACTTAACGACTAAACAACAACCCCCAAGCTAAACTCACCGCCCTATGTCAACAAGCCAGCCTCGAAATAAACAGACTCCCTGCCACCGAGACTCCGTGGCCAGTGCTGTGGGGTCTCGCTCTGCCTCTTGGCAAGAACCCCACAAGGAGCGGCCAGGTTCTCTCCTCCCAGTAGTACCTGGGGCTTGGTCAACTTCGAATTCAGTTCTCGGTGGGCCGGATCGTCCGCCGAAGTGCTCTCGATCCCACTGTCCAGACCCGAGGCGGAGCTCAGTTGGCTCCTCTCACCCTCCACGGCGCCCAGCCACTCCTTCACCCGCAGGGCCTGATCCACCGTCAGGCGGTCACCCCCCTGGAGCTCCATCAGAAGTCGGTAGGCGGCGTCGGTGCACGTCCGGTAGTGGCGGCATTCCGCCTGCAAGCGGCCGGCCGGATCCCCCGGGCTGGGCTTGGCGGGGGCTTCGGAGCGGTTGATGATGCGGGTCTCGGAGCGGTGCCGCCGCTCCGAGGCCGTCGGCAGGCTCTTGAGCCGCAGCGGCAGCTCCTCCAGATGTTCGGCCTCCTTGCGGCAGTTCACCACCGCCTTGTTCTTGATATTCTGAGCCCGGCTGGCGTAGTTCAGCGTGGTCAAGCTTTCGTCGAAGTCGGAGGAGGAAGGGCTGAGGCAGGCGATCATCACGGTCTTGGCATTGCCTCCGAGAGAATCTTTCAGAATCCTGCGGCATACAGAGATGGGGAAATCAACCCAGGAATTCCCATGGCGGGGAGCATCAAAAGAATCAAGACTGTTCCAAAGTAGCAAAAAAAAATGCTTGTGTTTATTGATTTAAAACATTTTCACCCCACCTTTCTCCTTAAAAAAGGACCCAGCGTGCTTTAACATCACTGAGAGACTGTATTTAAAGCTAAAAACAATGACTATAAAGAGAAAGCCCACATCATTGAAAGACAATATTCAAAGCTTAAAAACACTAAGTCTTGAACTTTTAAAATATTTGTACACTTCTTCTCTTTAGCTTTGAATACTGTCTTTTAAGGATGTCAGCCGCCTTTGTATACTCATCAGTTTTAGCTTTAAATATGGTCTTTTAAGGACGTAAGCTGCCTTGGGTCCTTCTTAAGGAGAAAGGCGGGATAAAATATTTAAAAATAAATCAGCAAACTGGCCAAGCCATCAAGTCAAGAGAGGAAGAAAACCACAAAGGCCGGCCGGCCAATGTGCTAGCTAAAGCAAGCCGTGGGGGATGAAGCGAAGGAGTTATAGTACCTTGTAATTTTGGAATCCCGGTAAGGGATGTGGCCGCTTTTTCGGCGAGCGTCCCCCAAAGCGCTGATGACGTTGCCCAAAGCCAAGAGGCTGGTGTTGATCTGGATGCTCTCCTTGAGCCTCTCCCCCGTGCTCCCCATCTTCACCACCCGCTCCGAGCCGGCCAGGTCCACAAAGTGAAATTTGGAGGCGAGAACCTGTCCCGAGGCCGGGACCGAGGCTTTCTCTTGGCTGGCGAGGCGCCCGGGGCTGCGCCGCTGCTCCATGGTCACCGTGAAGACGGTGTGGGAGCGGCTCGACTTCCGGTTGAGGTGGGTGGCCCCCGTGTGTCGAGCTGCGTTCCCCATCTCCAGCAGGCTCAGGACCTCGTCCAGACCCTCCACTTCAGTCTCCTTCACCCCATGGAGCACTGGAAAGGGAGAGAGAGAACGAAGATCGGTCAAGGAGGAAACGCATGAGAAAAATGGTTCGGAAGAAAGGAAGGAGGGACCAGGGAGATGTCTAGACTCTTTGACACACAGTCAGAACAAAGGGAAAATGAGAAACTAACCTTTTGCCAAGAAAGGGAAAGCATGCGAGGGGAACAGGAGATGAGGCCCACTGGCCCACTGTGTCTGTTTTTAGCAGCTATGAGAGAGAGAGAGAGAGAGAGAAAAGATTGGTCAAGGAGGCCACGCGTGGGAAAAATGGTTCGGAAGGAAGGAAGGAGGGACCAGCGAGATGTCTAGACTCTTCGACACCTGGTCGGAACAAAGGGAAAACAAGAAACGAACCTTTTGCCAAGAAAGGGAAAGCACACGAGGGGAACAGGAGACGAGGCCCACTGGTCCACTGTGTCTGTTTTTAGAAGCTACGGGTTCAAATCCCACCTCTGCCATTTGTTCAGCCTTGGACAAACCATCATAACCTACAGTATGAACGGCAGAGCTGGAAGGATCATCCAGTCCAGCCTCTGTCAAGAAGGCACCCAGTGGGGGAATCAAACTCCCAACCTCTGGCTCTGCAGCCAGATCAGATACTCTAGGCTAGGAATAACTATCATCTTTCTCACATGAGGGAGAAAAATGGCAAACCTATCTACATATATGGCTCACTTTCTCTCCCGAACGATATCATAACTTGGGTAAGAGCTAAGGCAGATGAGGGTTAGGGTCTAAGCATGCCTGCAGGGTCACAGGGTCAGCATTTCCAAGAAAAGCGGTCAATTGTCTTTTTTTACCAATGTTGCCCTTGCAATCCTCTCGGATCTGGATGTCCTTGCTCGCCGTCTCCACCTGCAGCAGGTCCCGAAACTCTTCTTTGTACACTTCCAGATAGCAGATGCGAACCGTACAGTCCAGCAGGCTGTTTTCATCCATGAGTTTGAAGGTTTCAGCCATGGCTCGTGGGATGATGCCCTGCTCATCCTCATTGATGGCGGCTGAAAGGGAGGGAAGGAGGAAGTCAACGGCTGGAAGGGATGCAAGGAAAAACAAGGGAGAGAGAAAGCTCAGCCCTCTGCAGGATTTGCTCGTTTCTATTGACAAGAATTGACGAGAGGTGGGCATGAACCGCCAAACTGGAACCAACCCAAAAAGCAACTCCGCTGTGTCGGAATTTCCACACCTTATCAGCCACCCACCAGTTGAACCATGTCCTACAACTCACAGACACTGGCTTCTCCAATGGTGTAGGTCTTTCCGGAGCCCGTCTGCCCGTAGGCAAACACGGTAGCGTTGAATCCTTCGAAGAAAGCCTCCACCAGCGGTTGGACGCAGGCCGCGTACACCGACTCCTGGTCCGACGCCTCGGTGAAGATGGTGTCGAAGTGGAAGTGGCGATTGCGCCCAAGGGTCACTTTCCTCGCCTCCGGGTCAGCACTGAGACATGTGTGGTGGCCGCGCAGGCGCTCCTTGGGTAGCAGGGGGCGAATGCGCACAGCCACCCGGACAGGGGTCTCCTCGGCGGACGGCTGGGCCTTCGCTTTCAGGCCCATGGTCGGCTCGAAGAATCACGACAGCCATCAACCAAGCAAGGGCACCCTCTCCCAGCCTGGGACGCAAGCGGAAAAGCAAGTCAAATTAATAACAATTATGTGTCGTCCCATCAATTCTGACTTGCTGTGACCCTTTCCAGGGTTTTCCAGGTAGAGCGTACTCAGAAGTGTATTACCATTCCCTTCCATTAGGGGCGCTGTGGGACTGTGCAGCTTGCCCAGGGCTACCCAGGCTGGTTCTTTTCCCAAGAGGCCCAAGTGGGGGAATCGAGACCCAAACCACTGAGCTATCCAGCCAGCAACACTCAAATTAGAGCACATAATATTGTCTCAGTAAAAAACAATAAACACATATGCACACACACAAAAAGGAGAAAAATTTGCAAAGTCTCACTGGTCACATTTTTACGTTACATTACGCCCTGTCTGTCACATCAATGTTGTCTTTTAAATGTTGAAGCAAACCAGAGTTTGTCCCCCCCCCTTTCTCTCTTTCGTCAGCTTCTGTATTCAAGACAGGTGCCGGAGAAACAAGTCTACAAAAAAGCCACTTTTCCAAATTCAAGGATAACAACGGCCCCGGTTTAAACCAAACCAACGCTTGCAAGCCAACCCGAAGCTGCCATTTCTAACTGTCTTTTTTTGCCCAGCTAAGGAGAAAGACCGAATTTGTGGCGCCATGTTCGGTCACCATCACAAATTTAACAAATTCGCTACCAGGTTTGCTTACTTGTGCGGACCGGACGGTCACACCTTGGTTTGACTTTTCTAGGGCCTCCTACAAGCCTGAGGAAGTCCAGCCGCCCCCGATTTATGTGATGGAGTAGGGGCACCCCCCTATATAAAACTGACATGGAAACGGCGAGTGGTTTGTGCGAATCTGATACGGAAAACAACAACCGAAGAGTCCCAAATTATTCTCTACAACAGGTTTCTGTAAGAACGTTCTGTGACCCTTTTATGTTAAGACCCCCGGGGGAGTCTAAATACAAAAGGCATTAAAAATGGGAACATAATATACAATAAAAGCAAGACAATATCCGAAGGGGCCGACGTCCGGCCAAGGCCTGCCTGTGCCACTTTGGCAGATGGAACAAAATGAAAGCAAGGGAAAAGTTTTTGCCTCGATTCACTCATTATTGCTTTTAATGAGTCTCGATCCATGCCAGCCACCCACCCGGGTGTCTTTCTGGCAGCCCCCCCAGCATCGGGCAAAGCTCTCCTCCAGCACCCGATTTTGCATCCATTCCTGATTCCCTAAACAGCCCCCCATGAACCAACTTTTTGTACGAATTAGAGAAATCCCTTCTCACGTTGCATTTGCCCATGCAACCCTTGGGAAAACAGGATCCCCTTTCGTTTTGGAAAAAAAAGGGGGGGCACAAGTCAATTTTGCTACCCCCCAGCTTAGGACCAGCCACCCCCCCCATACTAATGCAATAAAGGAGGCGGGCGTTCAATT